TTCATCAAAACGACATATGTATTCACACTTAATGTTTTTGATAGAAAATATGATCACATCATTTCTGAAGCACTAACTGATATTCAAGCTTACGAAAATTTTAAAGAAAAATTTCAGTTATTTTCACTAACCTTTCACTTCCTTGCACCAAATGAACGCGATTCGCACTGTTCACACGACATTATGTTACGCACTAAACAGACTCATACATATACATACTATCGCTTTATCGAAAATCATTTTGATTTACATACTCCATCAAGACAACCACACCATCGTTTTCAGTTTCTTAACTCGAAGTACACTTCACCATTTTTTCTAAATTTCACCTATTGCATCAAGGATACTAACCTCCACGGCATCCTCCGCAATTTTGACCCAGTAACACAAATGTATGTCCCAGCACGAAGACCTTTACTGCCGAAGAATCCAGACCCTTCCTTATCCCACATGAATTTATCCAACCTATAGAAATCCCAATATTAGAATTTATTCACAATACTAAATATAATCACAAAATATATAACCTCATTCAAAACACACCTTATGAGTTTGCAGTAGGCACCGAAGAACTAAAAACCATTAAAGCACCTCAATTGCTTTGGCCACTGCTGCAAACTAAAAACATCATTCGCATACTAGCAAAATTACTAACAAATTCGGACATAATACACGACATCTTTCCCCACGGCTTTTTCCCAGACGATTAACAGGTAAGTATAATTTAAAAATATTCCTAACTAATACATTTAATTTAGTACTAACCATTCTTTACTCATGTTTCTTTTACATTTTTAGTCTTAATACCACGATCATCTGCAAAAAAGAGAAAAGTAAAATAAAAACTAAACTTGTTAAAATTCTTCTAAATTTCATTAATATTTTACACAAGATAATCTGATAAAATTCATACCAAATGTAATAAATTAATTTATAAATTATTTCCCCATAAAGCAGTAAATTTAATTATGATGAAAATTTATAACTTTAAATTTCCCCCAAAAACTAGCAGTAAAATTGAAATTCTATGTAATAAATTAATAAAATGAAAATGCAGTACTAACCTTTTGATGTTTTCATTCACTCGCACAGGAGTTCTATCCAAACTCGCACAGCTCGCCCACAAAGAATTGTTTAAATAACGATTTTAAGTTTCAAGTTTTCACACTCAACAACTCTTACACACGATAACAAGTTTCAAACTTTCCTTTAACCCGGTTGGAAAGGAATTATATACTAAACCAAACTAACCAACGCAGCTTACTAAACACCACAAATCATAAAATAACAGCATGACTAAGAAAAGAAAACCAACGGTACCCAAACCGGATTAACCCTGTTTAAAACTGGATAGTTTATTCTTTTGAAGACTATTATAAAGTCTAAGAAAGAAATAATAAAACACAAAAAAGTCGAAAGACAAACCCATAACAAAAACAATTTGATTTTTGAAAAAAGGACACAACCAAAGAAACATAAGAAAGACCAACATAAACCCAACATAAAACGTTACCACATAACAGGACCTCTCAAAGAAACCGCACGAAACCATACTCCCACTCCTGGCCTAACCCACCAGAGAGGACGTCCTGAGCATGCTCTATAGCCGGCCTAACCCACCGCGCTACATCCACGCTTTGTGACCACACTTCTATTTTTAATAAGAGGTACTCAAGGGTGAGTAACTCTTCAAAATAACCGAACTAAAACAAAATGCTTTTGTGAAAACAACTAACTAAATTCATGATTAAAAAACCAAACTGATAAAAGTTTTATAAAATGTAAATCATACCTTGCAGTATATAGATCAACACACAACAACAAAGACGAACATCCAAAGACAAAATGATCACATTACACTCGATTAAGAATGGCTAACCACAACCGATATGCCGTCCACAATCACAACTCAAAGGATTTAGAGTACGACTTGACTTCGCAGAAAAGGACTTCATTGAACTAGACCAATGACCACCTCGATGTTCAAGTATACGTACAGATCCGAGTTACAAGGCATCCCTTCCACACACAATCTCCACGCCATTCCCAGACGAGGTTGAACACAAAACAAGTTCTCTACATAATACAGAAAAACCCGTCATAGCAAACCATTTTGAAATCAGATTGATTTCATTGGGAAACACAGTCGTTGTCACAAGACGACACAACGATTGATGTCCCTAACTCCAGCGTCCTGGAACTTCTCTAACAAGAGGAACCGGACAAGAATACGATTTTCGCCAAATACCAACGTTCATCATCCATCCTTTGAATTACAGAAAGATAATTCTAAAAAACTCTGTAAAACCCGGATGGGTGGAACCTGATCTAAACTATATTTTATGATTGGATAATATAGATATTTTACCACTATAAAGTATTTAATATTAACCAATCATGATTCATCCAACTAACAACCCACTTATTTGTAAGTGCTGAAATTACTTGTAATTTCAGCACCAGAGAGATTTGAATTTAACTTAGAAATTAGTTGTCTCTCCAAGAGAACTTCAGCAGCCGCAACAAACCAGTATACCCTAGATCTATTGAGCCTAGCAGAGACTAGTTAAACACCCTGAGACTAGAAAGTATAAGAGTAAGATTAGGATCGGTATTAGACTAAGAAGTTGCACGAATCTATCCGGCCGAAAATAAGATAGCGTGACGAGCAGACGGTGTACCCTATCCGAAACTACTCTATGAGTTAACCACAAAGGACATAACTCAGTAACATGCGTAAGACCTAGAGACTATAAAAAGTCTCTAGTAATGTTTGAGACCAAAGGCAATACGCTTCCTCTCTGTGTGTTTTTGTCTTTTTTAAAACTTTTTCAAATTATAGTTGAGTTATCAAGTAGTTATTCAATGGCCGGATCTCCATTGATTAAGTTCCGAAACGTAGGCTAAGATTTTTTCGTTTCTCTCTAAGCAGATCTTCGATAGCATCAATCACGAGAATTATTGAGGCTTAAGTTCGTCCGAAAGGTCACATGTACCTTCTCTACGCATGTACCAAATTGCTTCTATTTGCTTGTTTTTGTTAAGGTTTGGTGAAAAAAATGATAACTTGAGCTAAAAACAAAAGCCCTGAGTCGTCGCCAACAATAAGTCTAACGGACTAAATCGCTATGTACGGGCTTACAAATTTTTCCAGAATACCAGATCTAACGCTTGGATTCTAAAAACACTTTAGTGCGAAATTACAAAGATGATAAACTCTTATGTATCACCTTGTCATATCAACACATGTTTAAAGCTAATGAATTTTTTTATGCCGCTTTCATACTGTTTTTAGTAGGTGAACAAAACATTAAGAAATTTCAAAATATAAAAAATAGAACTGGAGCATTTTTAAAGTATAGTTTTTGTTTTCGACATTATCTTTCGGCCGACTCGACTTTTTGTTTCGACTTTGAGTTCGAATACAAGTGCTTCTCCACGATCAGTTTTCGGTCGAACCTTGACATGTATTCATTGACTTGTGTTTTTTTGTTCCTGTCTACTTTTCCTTAGCTGTTTCAATTTTTCTGCTGATTTGTTTAATATTCTGTTAATGAATCAGTACTTCAATTTAGTATGATGCAGTGCGAAGTCATCAAAGTAATTAATCACTCCGTAAACTGTAAAAGGTTTTTACCATATGATAAACAATAAGAAATTTTGTTTTTTCAGTTTTTTTGCTATTTTTTCAGTTTGAATTCTTAGTTTGGCCCCCACATGGGATCTACTTAGCAATCTCCACCCCTTTCAAGAAAAGGGGGGGGGGGGGGGGAGAGTGTTAAGTAGGTCAAAATGGTCGATGTTTCAACCAATCAGTATGCAGCAAAATTATAATTCTCAATAGAAAGCTCAGTGCTAATTTACTGTATTTATTTATAGTGGTGGAGATTCTTAAGTAGGTACCATAGAAAGGGTGGTGGTGGTGGGGGGGGGGGGGGTAGGGGGGGGGGGGAGATTGTTAAGTAGGTCCCATTACTTGTCTAAATACTGAAGTGGTGAAGTGTCTGAATACGCGGTTGTCTAAATATTTTTAGGATTCAATTTCAAAGCTCTATAACTGTAAACAAATAATTGCAGATAATTTTTTTTTAATTATGATTATTATTGAACCTCAAAATCTGTCGCTTCTGTTGCAGTAGTAGCACAAAGTAAATTGTTTGTTTATGATTCCAAACTGGCCAAACTGATATTTTTCAAACCCACATATTTTGCGAAAAACTATCAATAGCTTTAACATGATTTCAAATGATTTTGTCAAAAACGGCTAGTTGAAAATTCAAAAATTGTTTGGAGAAACAGATTTTCCGCCGCTGTCTTCGAAAGCCGGAGCAATAAATAAAAATCAACTGATTGGAATGAATATATAACAAGTTACCCTGTTCTTGTTTCAGGTCAAAACCCTGAATGCTCCGACTGCTCATCTGGTCCGGAAAACGAAGTTTTAAGATAAAATTGGGTTAATCGGAAGATATATACATTTTTGTGAAAAAAACAGTGGTGAATTGTTAAATCCCGAGAGAGAGAGAGAGAGAGAGAGAGAGAGCTGAGTTTATCTTTTAACTGCTGTTATGATCATACAGACTAAGATTACCACCCAGAGTTTTTGCTTCCGGGCGAAGGCTTTTCTTTGATTGGAAAAAAAATATTTAAAAATGTTGCCTGCGTAACGTTTAGAAAATTTTACCTTAAATTTTACTAAGAATGATCATGGCAGAGTTTTTTGAGGTTAAGTTGTGCAGTTCCTTATTTTTAAAATTCAACAGAACGACGGCAGCGGTGGTTTTCAGGTTAACGGTGCGACAGCTGATTCAAACATCAATTCTAAAAACGATTCTGTCAATAAACTCAGTGTGTGCAAATGTCAAATATCCTCGATATGCTGTTGTTTCTTCAACCGATTCAGCGTAAAATGGTTACATGTACGCTGTACGCCGTACGCTATTCATCACCAAGTCAAACCGATGTTTTGTTGTTTAAAAAGTACCATATGAAGAAAACTGAAACTGCCAAAAAATACTTTTACTATGATACTATAGTTGAACACGCGGTTGAGTAACTAAAATCTTAAGTTCACTCTGAAAAGTTGAATAACTTATAACATATGTCAAAAACGCAAACAAAAAACTACCATGTGCCAAAAACGCAGCGCCATTTTTTAATAATTTAAAAATCCCCTCTCTTTTCTACTGTCAGTTTTCTATTTATGATACTTTTCTTTGCGCATTAATTCAACTGAAATGAAAAAAGCCATAATTTTGCATCTGTTGGTACAAAAAGCCGTTTCTAAAAATCCGCACATGACGTCTGCTGAATAAATCTATTTTCATTCGCTAGTGTTGAACAAAATACAGGAACGTCTGAAGGAAAGCTGAAACATTTACTGGAAACCACATGGTCAAATATTGGTGTTGTTTTACTCAAGCAGAAGAAAACACAAAACGCTGCGGTCGCAAAACTCTGTATTTGTTTGAGATTCTTTGGAAAACACTCTCTTTACCCAGGTAGATACTGCGGGTATAAAATACTCTGCAGCCAAAGTTTATGTTTGTAGGTACTGTAGTTATCGTAAGTACAAGAAAAAATTTGGACCGTCAAACTACCTGGACCGCTTGAATATATGGCTCAAAATTGAATTTACTTTCAGCTAATCTAAATGCGCGCGCAGTGATATTTCACTTTACCTTTTACTTTCATATTATTCGCACTGGAAGACTTACTTTGAACAATTTTAACCCTTTTTCTTTGATTGTTGCGTGGTGTTTTATTCCCTGGTCAAAACCACTCAAAGAGAAAAGATAAAAATGAATTCGCTAATTGCTTCAAATTGTTGCGGTCAAAATGGATTAGCCTTCACATCAGGGACAAGAAAGATTCTTGTCAGAACTGGCAATGGAGATGAAAAAAGAAAGGATAATTACCATTTTCTGAATCTGAAAAAAGATAAAGATTTGGCTAGCCAGCAATTCATGGACTCGCCCGAAAGAAAGCTTCTTGTACGCCATGGCAGTTCGGTCAAATCAATGCGAAGGACGTTTGAGATGTTCGAGCTAAAAACAGTAAGTGGGATGAATAATTTTCTTCCAAACCTTCAACCAAAACGTGCATTATCGGATCATTTGCTTTTAAAATTTTCAAATTAAACGTGAAGAAACTGTCCTTTTTAAGGTCATCAAAAAACAGGCGAAAACGGACCAAAAGTAAAAATTGGTAATTGCAAATTTATAAAAAAAAAACTAGGCAGCAATACCGTACACAAAAAATGACATTGGTAAACTTTTAAAAACTTATTTCAGGAGACAAAATCCGACTCAGATTCGTGCAATAAGTCGGATTTGAGAAACCCCTTTGAGTCGGTTGAGAAATGTGAGCAAGACAGTCGGGAGAAGGAGGACAACGGAGGACGTAAGAGACGGCAGAGAATATCCGAGTTCATCTCTGAACAGGAGAGCAGATCCCCTGCTGCCAAGAGGGCGAAAAGTGGCACAGTGTACGACACAATCAAACACTTTGCTCTATCAGAGGACAAGTGAGTGAAAAAAAATTGTTTCAATTGAATGAGTCACTTTGAAGTCTTTGGAAGATAATTAACTTTATAGAAAATGTTTTAAAAGCCAAAAGTTGTGCAAGGCTTTATGAATCATATATCAGTACTTCACAATGATTGCAAAAAATTGTTTTCAGGTTTATATGACTTTAATGACTGATACAAAAACGGCATTTCCAATGATATAAAAGAAGTGGCTGGAGACATTGCCATTGGTTTGTTTTCAGGCGGTTTACATACTCCGTTCATCATAGTAGCATTCGCCAAAACTAATAAAAAAAAGAACGAGGTTTGCTTAGAAATTTCAGGCAACCGGTAAACAAAAAAGAAAAAAAGAAAAAAAAAATTGAAATCTTGAGATATATTATGACGTAGCTGTTTGTTATGTCAAGTAGACCCTCACCTCAGTGTTAAAAAAATTGATAGAAAAAATTGAGATTTGTTCGCTCAAGGCTATTTGGGCTTATTCTTGGTTGAGTATTAAGCGAGCCAGGCGCGTTAGCGCGCGTAGAGTGATAGCATCAATCTGTTTTCTTTTCCAATTCAAATCGCAAATTTAATTGATGCCAATTCCTTGCCAATTTCGGCAAGCTTGAGCATACAAACGGTCAAAAATGTTCGTTTTAGCTTAGTTGGTTTTTCGAAACGGTTTTCTAGGTGCTCTAATACCTCTTTCTCTCTGATACCGATCTGTAGCATTAAAAATTTCAAAGCTTCTGTTCTCTGCTTCATTGTTATCTAAAGTTTGCCAATCGTTAAGCGACAGTGGCGCAGATAGAGGGACCGCGCTTGGCACTATTTTTGGTGGCATTTTTTGCATAGGATTGGCAATTTAATAGCATCTCTAATTTCTTTCTTAGTGTTTAGCACTGTGAAACTTTCAACTTTTAAGGAGCCTTATCGCAGATGCGACGACGTGAGACTTCTAATCTCGTGATCGTGCGCATAACAATTTTTCTTTATTAAATTCTTAGCTTCTAATTTTTATTTCAACTTTTCGGAAGTGGTATTTGTCATTTTTTGCTTGTGTCGCGTCTCTGTTCATATTTATTGTCCGACCATTGAAAATGGGGAAGAGCTCTGTATTCGATTTGTTTTAGTTTTTTTCAGTTTTTTGCACGCAAAATCAAGTACCACAATTTATCATTGGAGTGCCTTGCCTTACATTATAACAAAACCCTTTCCGTCTTGATTCGAAAACCTTAAAAAATTTCAAAAAATAATTCCCAGTGTTGAGAAAACCGGCTTGAATTTTCTAAATTTTCGTCTAATTTCGCCCAAATAAAGTGACGATAACTTGTTGTTTCGAACAAAATCTAGCTTTGAAAGCTATATTTGGCACTTCTCTCATAAGAAGAGTTTTCTTCAGAAATTTCAAAAAAATGTTCGAAAAAATAGAAAAAACTCGAATTTTTTAAATACAAAAACTTTTTCGTTTTTCATTTTTTTGGTTGTTATTTTTTTAAAACGACAACTGTTGTCGGTTATGCCTAAATTACTTAATTTTTACCCTGGTATTTAGTTTTGCCATTACCCTTGGTACAAAAAACGACACTAATTCAAAGAACTTATTAGTTTAAATAAATTTTTCCTTTAATTTGTGATCTTGATCGGAATACTCTGTGCTATTTGCACAGCAACCGGCTAGCCTTTTTCAAAATTAACGACTGAAGTTACCTATTTGATTTTTTTTTGTATGAAATGAGTTATTCATATTTAAAGTTGTACCGGTCAAATTTTTTAAAAATCTTTTCTTTGATTCGAGATTCTTAGTCACGTTTTGTCCCTATCTTTTCTATTCTGTGTAGGGAGGTGTTTTTGTTCTATTCTGTGTACTGAAGTTCTCTTTTGAACTTTCGTTAAATTTGAAAAATTAATATTTATAAAGTTCAGTTGACGCAAACAGCTTATTTACCATTCCCAATTGTTTAGAAATTTTAGAAATTTTCCCAATTCTTTTCTTAAACTCTAAGGCTGAAGCTTTTTTCTTGAACTTAGGCCGTTTTATTGCTTCCTAATTTCATTTTCTTCGTTAAACTTGACTTTTAACTATCACTGAATTTCATTTTTGATTTAGTTTTTTTATTACGAAGAAATAATTTTTGTAACGCTATTTAAAAAAGGTGCAAGAGGATGTGTTTTTGAATTTGTTATGTTTCTTCTGCAAAGTTTCAGCTCCCAAATTGTCAGAATTAGAAAAAATTTTTGACGCTTTTTAAAAATATTGACGCATGAAGCTGAAAAATTTTCAAATAAATAATACTTGCATTAAGTTTTTTTAATCAAAATAAATAATTTACTTATTGTGCGCTTCATAGGTTTTATCAAAAGAAGATCACAGGGACTGTTAGTCTTTCCAAGTTGAAATTTTAAATCAAAAATAAGCTCTATTTAACCGCATAATTCCATTCTTTTTCTGATTTTAGTTACAACAATTAATAACAATCATTTGGGCACAGGATGCTTCTCTATTAACAAAATTTTTCTCTGCCAATATAAAAGTTTTTGACAAACTTTTCGATGCATCCTACAGTTATTGATGCTTTGAGATCCATCCTAGTTATGTTTCTCACTGGAATTCTCTGTTTGATAAAAACTTTGATAAAATGGACAAACTAAACTTGTTCACGCTCCATATCTAAACCTGCCTATATGTATCAGCGGCAAATTGGCCAGGGCTTAAAACTAAATTACTTTGTGCAACAAACTCCGCACCAAGATTTAGGAGTTGGAACTAAATACAATTAATTGAAGATCACTGAAATATTTTCTAGATAGTAAATCATTTTCGAAAAAGTAGGCGTTTTAATTATGAGTCTTAAATGATCCAATTGTGATTCAGTCAGACTTATAGAACCAAACCATTCGGTATCATCAATTATTTTTGAAACAAAAAGTCAATATAATTATTTTAGGTCTGTATTTTTCTGGTATTTACTGTTTGATCTTTCCGCATTTCCGAATTTTTATCATTGCATTTCAACCACGATCCACTTTCACGTCACAATATATTTCACTTGTTTTGACTATGGACTATCATAAAAAGATAATTCGATTATTACAAAAACTAGACCTTGCTTGTTGCGTCTGAGCGTCTGCTCATTTTTTGTCTCTGGAAATTTTGGCAGAAAGACTCTTCAATTATACTATTTTGCCAGTTTTGCATTAAATTTTAGATGTGAAGGAGTATCTTTTAGGGTGTCAGGACAAAAGATACCATACCAAAAGCTCCCATGACAAAAGATACCATACCAAAAGATCCCTTGTATAAAAATCGCCCATACCATAAAATCCCATGCCAATTAAAAGATTCCATAAATTATGAACAAAAATCATGATCAAAGTGTAAGCAGAAATAAATCTAGAGTAATGATATCTCAATTAGGTTCGCGCTATTGAAAAACAATGCAAATTTAAAATAACTAAATTTAAACTGGACTCATTTTTGGGATTAACATAATGCCAACATGTGTTTAATTTAGTGTTAATATGGCATTGAATTAGAACAACTTAATTGAAAATGTATACACTCTGCATTCATTATCTCCCTCTTTAACTCATTGATAAGTCAAAAATGAATTCTTTTACTTGGGGAACCTCACAAAAAGGCCAAACTCTGATTATTTTTGATGGCCATGAATTTCCAAAGAAATGCGATACGAAGACAACGACCCACTGGCGCTGCAGCAAATGGAGATCGTATAAATGCCCGAAAACTTTAATCACTTGTGGGTGCGATATAATCTCACAGAGCAACGAGTATAGTCATGAGCTCAACGCAGGACGCTCAGAAGCTCGGCAACTAGTTCAACAAATGAAGGAGACAGTTAGGAATCAATTAAATCCGGTAAACAGCCAGATAATTGCAGCTAGTTTGCAATTGGTGCAGGACGAAAAAGCAACCCAACTGTCTTTGCCCTCCCGGTCGGCGCTATCTCGAACTTTAAACAGAAGTAAGCAAACAACATCCCTGCCCACTATTGCCACAGATGACCGTCATTTCGAAATACCCGATCGTTTTAAGCAATTTTGTCTTTTTGATAGCGGAAAACAAGATACGGAACGCATATTAATTTTTGGCGACATTGAGAACCTGCACAAAACCTGGCTTATAGACGGTACTTTCAAAATTTGCCCCAGTCAATTTTACCAGCTGTACACTGTACACATCCAGATTGGCGTGTTTTATCCACCTTGCGTCTACGCTCTGCTTAGCAATAAGCGCTTATCAACCTATAACAAATTCCTAACCGCACTCAAATCGCTTATCGGTGACGTAACCCCGGAAAAAATTTTGATCGACTTTCAAATTGCGGCTCTGAGTGCTTTTACCTCTCATTACGAAACTGACATTAAGGGATGCTATTTTCACCTCTGTCAGAGCTTTATGCAAAAAATATCCAAATTTGGCCTTAAAAAGACGTACGAATCAAACAGCGAGCTTGTCTTAGCCCTGAATATGATCCCTGCGCTTAGCTTAGAAAAATTCAACTGGATTCCTACAATCAAAAGTTCAACATTTTGAAGGCATCCAGCGGCACTATCAACTTATCCCGGAAGAAGTACCGTGATCTGAATGAAAAAGTTCAACAGATAACAAGTTCATACACAGACTCTAAGTTATTGTCTTATATCCGTTCACTTGCCCATTTAACCTATTAAATTTTGTTTTAGTTTTTGTCTAATTTTTCCTAAATTTAAATTTGTTTGATCAACTTTTTTATAGACGTCTCCTTGCACCCTCCCGGAGAACGCCGAAACGCAATAATACGACTCGCATTCGAAAATGCTGTCTCTAGCAATTTGATCCCAGAGCAATTGCTCTTATTTACGGGACGCTAGGTTGGGGGTAGGGGCCTGACGGCCCTTTGAGTATTGCGCCTAGCGAAAAAAGGTTGATCAAAATTGAGAATTGATATTTTTTATCAAATAGAATGGCAAGTGAATCGTAATGAAAATGATTTCAAAGCTTTAGAATTTTGCAAAACTCAATTTCAATTTTGTACCGACTTGAGTTGTCTGGAAAATCAGGCCATTTTTGGCAAAGTTGGTTTTGATTAATTGGAAATCCTTTTCAAGTTCAATTATAGTCTAAGCTGTTTTGAAGTTTGAGTTTCATTTTAAAGGCCAAGTGATTAGCAAGGTCATTTAAGTTCGAAATTTGTGCAGCAAAAATTTTGCCGTTTCTTTGATTTTAACCGACGCTTTGTTTTTGCTTTGATCGATTAACCGCTTTATTTTCAATTCTCAGGTTCTTTGTTATTTTATTATGGTATCTTATGTCGTGGGCGATTTTAGAACGAGGTATCTTTTGGAATGGTATCTTATTGACTGGGATCTTCTCGTTTGGGATCTTAAGGTAAGGGATCTTTTGTCATGTAACCTCTTTTAGATATTATCCTTGGGTCTTGGACAACAAGCTGATGAGACTCCAAGCCGAAGTTTGAATTTTATTATCACCCCAAAAATCTTTTTTCCATCTGTAAGCAAGGTTTTTCAAAAGTTCAGGCAAGTTTTGCCCATAATGAGTGTTATTCAGAACAATGCACCCCTTAGGAATGACATTCGTAGTTTACATCAGCCAGATTTTGAAATGCGTAATTTAAAAACCTAAAAACCGCCTTCAGCAATGTTTTAGTTTCTAACTTTCCTAAACATCAATCAACATCAAGAAAGATCATGAACCTAAAAAAATTTTCAAACTAGTCTTTAAATTAACCAGATTTTGCGACTTTTTGAGAAAATGTTGGGCTTGAAGTCCTTTTTTTACAATTCGGCTTAAAGTCCCGTCGGCTTGCCGTCCGCCACCCATTATCATTAGTCGCCGAAACTCGTTTGCTCAGTTTTACAGAGAAATTCTAAATTTCAAATATAAAACGTCATCATGTATATTCAAAACAAGCGGTTACATATCAGTATTTAGACAACCGCGTATTCAGACTGGTCAGTATTTAGACAAATACTGTTTCAACCAATCAGAATCGAGACAAAGAAGAAATTAATAAAAAATTATTATTTATTTTGGATTATTTATGTCTTTTCTCGATTCTGATTGGTTCATACAGTATTTGTCTAAATACTGGCTGCACTCCAAAACAAGGATACCCAATTCCTGTGTTAGTACCACAGAAGGTGTCGAACGTAGAATTATAAAATCGAAAATTGACATTTTTAATTTTTCTAGAAAAACTGAACATCTTAGAGAAAAATGAATTTCTTAAACACCATTTCATTTTCAGCTTTGATATTTTCTTGCGCAAGAGTGCTGGATAAAATTTAACTCTGCTCGCTAGCTTTACTTGCTCGATATCCAATTAAGATGCAAATATTTGAAATCGTTTTTTTTCTCGATACCTAAGAACTTTCACGAGAGTAAAACTTGTATCGCTCGATCTATTCTGATGATTCTCTGTGGCACCTGATTTTGAGTGAATGAAAGCATAAAATTTTTTATTTGGAGACAAAAGGTTATGCCCACTTCTGGTGATCCGAAAGATAAACAAAACGACACAAGTAATAAAAGTTTCGCATCATTGACCGAATACAGTTTTCTCTGCTAAAATTCAGCCTAAGACCAGGAACAAAGTTTAGATAAGTTTCACTCTTTGCTCAATTGTTCACTGTGACATGGTTGTGTGCTTGTTTAATAGTTCTGAATATAAAAGATTAACAATGAGTTGGGTTAAAGGAATTGACCTCGATAGAATTTTGAAATCAATGAGACACGGGCTTTTTTGTATGTTAAGTATCTATGATGTTTCTGAAATGTAAAAACTTATTCCACGGGGCGGATTTAGGGGGGGGGGGGGGGGTGCTCGTTAACGCGCGCCGAAAAAATCGCGTTATTTTGACCAAAAAAACGCGATTTTTTGGTCAAAAACAGGGACTAATATGTGCTTAGGGCTTAGGGAGAGCTCGAAAAATCAATTCGGTCGACCTAAAAAACAGGTCGACAAAATTTTGGAAAACTTTTTGAAAATTCGCGCCCATCCCCCCTCGAGAAAATCCTAGATCCGCCCCTGATATTCCATCAATGTTTTTAACTGATCTTTTTTCTGATAAGAGCACAAAAGCACTGCTTAGATTTGATACATTTTATGAGATTTACTATAAGCCTTACAAAATTACTAATGATTTTAATACATAATGATTTTGAACTAGGGTTGTTATAAAAAAAAGTAAAAATTAGCACTGGAAAAAATATAAGTCCCATTATTTCAATAGCGTACAAGCCACGTTGTGAATTTTGATGAAGACAGTTTCAAAAACAACAACTTTTCGACTGCAATCACAACTTGATTTATCAAGAATATCAAATACCTTATTTTGTACTAATTAATAGGCATTGAAAAAACTCATATTGAAGTGAAATTTGAAAGTTATTTGTAGTTAAATAGCCCAGAACGCGGCAGTAACAAGGAAAATGCAGCTAAATACTCAGCTAAATATCGATGCATGCAGCCTTATTTCTCCAAAATGCTGAGCTCCAAAATTGATCACTTTTCAAAACTAATTTATTTCTGCTGAATTTTTTTCTCAGATGATAACTCTAATCAATGAAAGAGCCTTTAAGTGAAGAGGCATTTAGATAGATATATGGGCCAGTTTGCGCTAGTTTTTAGAGGCAGGCTTCGATAGGCCAGTTGAGCTGTTTCAGGATACCCTGTTTGGGACGTCTCCCGTGCCCGTATATCTCCAGTTGACATTTGGGATCGGCGGATCTCCAGCCGACCTCGCCGGTGGTTGTTCGGGGGGCGGGTCCCGAGTGCTCCACTTTGATGTAGCGGCTGATAGGGGTCACTGACCTCACTCGGAGTGTAGTTGGGAGGTCAAGTTTCTGGACAGGTGTTTTGGGCGGGTATTTGTCTTTGATAAGGTCGAGAGGATTACCTAAAAGCGTGGCTTTGTTTATTGTACCGGATGAGACACATTTCTGACCGGGTTGTTGGAAAAAAGGGTTGCTTTTTCTGAAATTGGCTATTTAGATTGGAAACAATGGTGTGACTAGGGTCTCAAAAATCTCCGTGGGCTTCGAAATATTTCGAAGCTCAAAGAGAGTTTTGACTTCAGAAGATTTCATAAGTCATATTTGTCCCCTATAATATGTACAGTGGCGTCGTGGGTAATTTTTTAAAAACTGAAGGGTTTGTTTGTAAAAGTGATTAACATTAGTACAAAGGGGCCATTCTTGAAACACTTCTCTTATGAAACCTCCCAGTTTTTCAAGGATTAAAGGTGAAAACGTATAGTTGGTTTGACTTTACCTTTGAGAAAACTCCATTGACCATTCCAGATTTTGGCTGAATTTTCCTCATTTTTGACATAATCGCTCCATATTTTGTCTCTTCCCACATAATCGACCTCGTTGAACAGTTTCGAATCGTCAGCTACCTGCTGCACCATTTTTAAACTATTTTTTGAAAAAAGAAATTGCAAAACCAAATAATTATGATACTGTTTTTTTTTTGTATTAATTCAAAGATTAAACGTGGTTCCAAAACAGAAAAAGCACGTTTTTGAAGCTGAACAGTTGCTGATAGTATTGGTGTAATTTTGTATGGTGTCTTATGAATATATGCAGCGAGAGCAGTTTAGCATTGCGTGCAATAAAAACGAAAAACAAAACATCTCTTAAACAATCAGACTATGTGTACCGTACATGTCTGAGAATGGGGATATTTTTCATAAGCAGGTGGTCGGCGATGAGCATTTGACTTTCTAATGAATTATTTATAGAGGCAGCCGTTATGGCTACTCAATGTTATGGTACCAAAAAAAAAAACAGTCTGAATGATCAACCTTCCTTATTCTGGATCTAAAAGAAACACGATAGACAATGATTTGGTTGTTCATTTGATGATTTTTCAAAATGATCTGTAGATGGACCTTTTTGTATGCAGCGGATTGAACAAAGAAAAATTGCAGATTAAACTGCTGATTTAAAAGAATTTTTGGTTGCATAACTTTTCAAAACTTTTTGCTGAAAAACTATTAAGAAAATTGGAACTGTTTTCTTTTGCTTTTACATTGAACGGCTTGCTTTTTTCGTATTTTAATGCCATCATCAAGATGCTCATTGTGAAACGGTGAGGTAATATGTCCTTCTTTTTTAAGGAATAGCGAGGTGGCATTGAGGAAGGCGATGAAACCTTCAGAATCCTACCAACTACTACTAGAATGGATCAACAACCGCATCAAACACTACTCGGTAACTAAACTACAAACTAGGGAAATAATACAAACTAATAAAATTCGGGGAATAATTCCTTCTTCCAAGACTGAATCGTGTTTTGCAAAATCGATTATGGTTTTCTTTGCTCAAAGCTCATCAAACAAGGAGATAATAAAACGGCTAAATAATGAATAAAACGGCTAATCGAAATGATTCTTTGGGTGCTGTTGCAGGCGTTTTTGCCCCAAATATGCGACTTGTCGGTGGCCACTTTCAACTGTGGCTCAGTGCTAGCTGCCTTGGCTCATAGTTTCAACCCATTCGGGGCCACATCCTACTTCCAACTGACCAAACGCACACGACGGGACAAATTCATATACGCATGGGACGCTTTCAGGTAAAAACTATATAGTATAGACTCCCAAACAACAAAAACTTTCTCTTTTCGGCTTTTGCTAAAGTTCATAGCTATAATAGGCTTTAGACAAAGGTAATGAAATCAATTCTCCGTTCAAAGATGTTCCTAAACGGGAGAAAAGTCCTTTGACGATCTATCAGGTTATTTCTTCATAAACAAGCAAATTTCGGAGAAGCTCGCGCCGAATAAGCATTTTTTGGTCAACCCTCTCGAAAAGAGCCCAAAAACGCCTTTTTTGACTATTTCAAAAATTGCTTGTGGTGCAGAAATTTTGCCAAAACGGACCTCATAGTCGTTTAGCAGAGCTCGGAAAATCATTTTGGCTAACCTAAAAAAACGGTCGGCAAAAAGTTTGAAATATTTTAGAAAATTGGCCCCTCACTCGAGAATGGTTGAACGCTTTTTTCGAGAATAGTTAAACACCTGGCATCAATGGTTAAACGCTTTTCGTGCAGTAGCAATTTCGCAATTTTTAATGCTATTTGTTTTTTTAAATTTTGGCAAAGTCTAATCGTGTCACGTTATCAACCATAGTCGGTAATTGATGCCATCTTGAATATCTGAAAAAAAATCGGAACTAATTTCGTAATTATTTTTATTAAAAATCATTATGTTAAACCTCTGATCAAATATATTAAGCCTTTGTTGCAGAGAAATGACAGGCGAAGCCCCGGTGTATAGTCTAGACGACGCGCTTAACTCCCCATCGCAGAAATTGGACCGCAAGTGCCTTCTAGCAATGCTGTTTCTTATCAGAGAGAAGGTTATTTTGCTGAACTTGAAGCAGTACAGACAGTGACATAGATTCAAAAATTGCGCAAACAAGAACAAATGCAATGTTCAAATGTACAAAACAGTAAAAGAAAAAGTTCAATTACTGGAAAGTGTAGATATAACGTTGAATGTGGAGTGGAAACTTGAGATATCTTCTAGAAAATACCATCGTGACTTCGAATGTTTCAACAATTTTAAGTTTTTATAATTAATTCAAGGTTTTAGCCTAGCATAGGTTTGCAATATTTGAGTGGGTAATATTCTTAAATACTAAAATATTCGATTTTAAATTGTTTGAAATTAATTATAATGCTGAATATTGAATTTAATATATACACTTCGCCACAAAACTTGATGTTTCCAATGAACTTATGCAAGTAAACGAATTTTCTAAAGGTTTTTATTTTTTTATATTATTCAAAAGGTATTGTTGTCCTGAGCCTAAATTTGAAACGATATTTCACCTGTGATCATTTTTCGTAAAGTTATGGGGGTTTAAAGATTGCCATTTTGACCAATTTGGGACAATTAACGCGCGATTATTTCGCGCTATTAACGCGTAAGCGGAGATTTAATCCGTCTTAAAAATCGTTCCAAATTGGTTGAAAGAAGCTTATTTGCCATAATTAATTTGTTATAAGGAGCGAAATCTATTTTTTTTGTAGTTTATGTGGCGCGTGGGGAGATGATTTTCATAGAAAAGATTTCAAATTAAAACAAGACTGCTCGTATCAGGGCGAAGCCCTGATTGTTCCGACTGCTTTTTAAGGTTTATGGAGCAGCAGTAATAACATAAAAAATTTAAAAAAATTAAAATGAAATGAATTTTTTTTTCTAAAATTTGAAAATTTTTATGAAAATCATCCCTCCACACGATATATAAAGCACAAATAGATAGATTTCGTTACTTGTAACAAATCAATTATGGCACATAAGCTTCGTTCAACCAATTTGGAACGATTTATACGACGGATTAAATCTCCGCTAACGCGTTAATAGCGCGAATTATATCGCGCGTTAATTGTCCCAAATTGGTCAAAATGGCCAAAATGGCAATATTTAAACCCTCACAACTTTACGAAAAATGATCACAGGTAAAATATCTTTTCAAATTTGAGCTCAAGACAACAATAGCTTTCGAATGATATAAGAAAATTCCGTCAAAAATGGCTAGTTAAAAAGTCGAAATTTGTCTGAAGAAAAAAAAAACCCACTCCGAGCACAAATATTCCGTTACTTTTGTATCGAAAGTCGGAACAAAAACAATTCATATTTTTCTTACATCTAATTTGATAATGATATTTATGTTATTACTGCTCCATAAACCTTAAAAGGCAGTCGGAACATTCAGGGCTTCGCCCTGATACGAGCGGTCTTGTTTTAGTTTAAGATCAGTAAAATTTAGTGAAGCCAAAAAACTGCTAGCCATTCAATTTTTAAGAGCCAATAACCACAGTAAACTTATTCTGCAGGCCTCGATGATTTTTTGTTTTTTTTCAGGGAAAAGTCTTTTAGTTTTTTCACGCTCAGATTGATATTTCACGTTCATTTTTTTGTGAAAAGGAAGGCAAACTCCACTATCAAACAGCAAAGTGTAAAGTTTGCAAAAACGTGTGATCAAATTTTATTTTCTAAAGTGGATTTAAGTTTCAGTTTTTCCAAAGGAAAAAAAATTTACCTTTTGATCTAGTTGTGTTTCAAATTGAGTTGAATTTATCAAGAAAGTAGCAGTAACTTTAATTTTATATATTTTCTTACCTTGACGTTTGAATGTTGAATTTTTTTCGAAAAAAGCCAGTGTTTTGTTTTCTTGTGTTCTTTGATTTCTCTCTAAAAGTATTCTGACAATGCGTTTTTGTATTGAAACTGCTTAACTAGCACTTTTCTTCTCAATTCATATCCGATCCGACTAAAAAATTTAATAATAGGATATTTGCTCGAAATAATTTTGTTATCGGAACAAAGTTTATTTTCTGCTGAATACAAATTGCAACCGAGTTTTAATGTGCTGTTTTATGGTTTTCTGCCAAGATGATAGTTACTTCATCCATTTTGAGTTTTAAAAAAATTTTGTGCGGAGACAGGGCTTATTTTAAATTCTTAACTAAAGAGTTCAAGAAATCAGACGCAGCAGATGAGAAAACTATTCTTTTTGAAGGGATAATTCCCAAATTGTAATAGTTTTTTCGATGTTTTGTAAATTAAAAAACCAACCATCAACCCAGATAAGTCTTGCAGTGCAAATAAAATTAAAATTGCACCAGAAATGGTACAGTTTCACTTTTGCAACTATGCATTGGCTATGCTTAGCAATAATTTTAATTCAACATTTTGAGCAAAAACAAATTCATATCCAGGCTGACACCCGCATCTTGCGCAACTAAGCTACCATTATGTTATATCAACGCCATAGCCACATTGTATCAAAGAAATAGTGTCAAATTTATTTTCGGATCACAGTCAAATCTATGAATATAATTGGTTGATTGTTGCCTACACTGCAGTTCCCAGTTTTCAAATTTCTCTTACTGAAACACCGAAATAAAACAAAGCCAAAATCCAAAATTTGTTGTGAAACTTTTTGCATAATGAAAAATTTAAACACAGGCAGTTCACAGATTTCAGTCTCAGAAATTTTCGAAACAGAGGCTTTGTAGCCATTTACAAACACTTACATTGTTTTGTTATAATTTTGTGTGAAGTACTTTTTTCTATCTGACTTGGAAACTAGCAATACGTAGTTTTATCTTCGATTTCAATGCTGTTTAACCTGTTGGTTTTTCCATTTAAGAAAAATTTCAGTTTTTTTTGTTCAGAATGAAACACGAATATAAAGCAAAACACGAAAAAGAGACCTGGAAAAAATGCTTGTCACATAATTCTGTTGTGAAAAAAATGCTTCTCATGTAATTTTCATAGTTTTTTTTCATTCTATGAAACTTTCTGATAAACATTTTATCCAGAGTATGCAAATGTATGTAAGCGTTTTGTGTGAAGCATCATGTACAGTTGATAATACGAATCAAATTTTGAACAAAAAATTGCATTAAAACAATAGAAAAGTTAAAGGGTCGTTCTCCTTTAGCAATTGCCAAAAATTTGGTTTTTTGTCGAATTGTTTCTTTATTACATCTCATCTGACACTAAATATTGATTTATTTTTGGAGGAAATACGGAAAAAATTAAAAACGAGATGGTTTTACGCTGTTCTGCTATTTAGACAGCTAGTTAAAGCAAAACTTCTGGTTCCTATTTAATCAATTTTATCCATTTTGCGGACTGGATTTTTTATTAAAAACAAAAACTTTGAAACTTCAATTTATTGTCAATTGATTACTTGATACTACTTTACTTTAACGGTTACGTCACTGCTTAATGATCAAACATAACTATAATTACACACTAAAATAAGGAAGTAAATCGGAACCAAAGCCAATTCTTTTTTGTGAACATTGTCTGAATAAATAAGTGCCAACATTAAGTTATTCTGGAGTTCGTTTGAATGCTTCTGGATTCCATTCTCACCAAATAATTGTGATCTTTTTACAATTGCCGACTTGTCATCAATTGGTAATACTTCGCTGGGTTTTACTTCGACGTACGAACAGCCCGGTATCACAGGTGCACTGTAAACAAGCAAAACTGAGAAAAAGTTTCTGGGTCCAGCTATACACTCAACTTAAGTTTCTACCAAAATTTTTGAAAAGAAGAACACATCTTGATTTTCGATCTGTAATCGAACATAATGCAATTCAGGTCGAACAAAACTCAAAAACATATTCCAAAGCAATTGACTCATTGTAGAAATCAAAGCTGGTTAAATGTTGTAATCAAATTTATAAAAACTTTTCAATAGACTGAAAAAATGACAAGATCTACCCTCTATGATATTATCAAATTTTGGTGTCAAAGATTTCTTCGTTTATTCAGGATTTGAAAAGGCCATTTTTCAGCATCTGCACTAAAATTTGCATCGGAGTGGTTGCTGTCTCAAAAAATTGCATCGGAGTGGTTGCTGTCTCAAATAAGCGGACTTAGAGTTTCATGCGTTGCGAAACAATCTAGGCGAGAAAATTGAAATGATCGATGTGAAAATTTTGTTTAGCTCAGCTGTTTCTAACCAAATCACGAGGTTTGAAAAAATGTATAAATGGTGAAAACCTGAAAAAAAAGTCTGTAAAACCAAAAATTGGTATTTTCATAGAAGTTGGAAAAAATGGAATTATTTCGAGTTTAACTCTGTACAAAATAATCCTTGAAACAAGCATTTCAGAGACTGAAAACTTTGAAGTAAAGCCGAACTCTGGAATCACTGTTTCGAGGATTATTTTGACCATTGTGTATCTGAAAACCTGAAAAAATTGCTGATTGAAATGCTAATATTGAAAGTTGACTTGTTACACTGAAAAAAACAACAAAACCCATCAAACTATCTGCAGTGAATGATTCATTTTCGTTATAACGGGCAATATCTAAAAAACCTTTAGTTTTCAAATTCCGTTATTTATGCAGTCTCCCTAGTGACAGACTGAACATGAATGTCATTCAATTTTGAAAAGGAATCTATGGAAAAGTGCTCGTCATGTTTTTTCCTTTGATCAATATCTGAACAGCTGAAAATCGCAGAAGACTGAACCGCTCAAAATTTCTCCAAAATTAGGCGAGTTTGAGGAATCCGCAACCGTATTTGCGGAGTCCATATCAGTTTGTGGAAATCAAAAACGAATGATAAGACATGTGTATAGTTAAATTGAGCTGTTGCAAAATCCTCAATTGTAAGCGGAATCCGCAAATTGTAAGTGGAATTCGCAAATTGTAAGTGGAATTCGCATTGTGTTTGCGGATTCCGCTTACATATATGTATATATGTAGTAGCGTTTGAAGATATTTTCTTTAATATCTATATCCTTTAATATCCAGCAAATTTGATTTCGTTTACTACATTGCACAACTGCCAGTTGAAATGCCAAACCTTTGATCTCAATTCCTGTCAAACAACTTAATATAACCAAGTCCCTTAAGAATAGGATATTTATAGATCTAAAATTGTTTAATAATTATTGCGAGTGAGCTATTCAAAAAAGTGTAGCATCATATATTGAAACAAAAAAACTGCCCTCATGATCTGATTTTTCTAGAATTGGAATCTGCTAGATCAGTATTTAGGATTGATGAAATCCCAAACACTGGCCATTTTTTGGGATCGATAGAAACCCAAATACAGATCTAAATTGGCGATATGCTGTGCGTTGTGTTTCGAAACACTTTCAAACCGATGACTCCGAATAATGATTTTATTCGTTGTTGTGTTTTCAAAACTGCGATCCAAAAAGTTGTTTGCT